CATTCATCAGTACTCACTACCACACTGATCTCGTACAAATTTTACTCATCACACAAGTACTGGGGTAATAATAGGGCGACTGAACTCACGGACTATTGCTTTAACTTAACTTTGAGTAAAGATTGCCAACTGGCCGGCCCGGCCCGGCGTAGAAACTCCCCGGGCCCCGGGCCCGGCCGCTGTCTGAGAATTGACTGAGTTCGTAATGCACACACACACTGCAGCCCGGACTTCATTTTCCAAGACGTGTAAACTTACAAACATGACGCTGAAACTCATCTTGGTATCATACTAATATCCGACCCTTCAATTCTGCAGTGCTGGCTGACATTGGAGAGGTGCTTCATGTAACAGTCCCTTCCTGTTCCTGGGCCGCAGATCCCGAACGGCTTCTTGTTCGGATCCTTGCTACTGCAGAGCTGGCAGCAGAAGTTTGCTATGCTGCCCCATCCTTGCGTGCCCTTGCACATCCTACATCGAACGCGCTTCCCCCACTTGAGATCGCTGGCGCTCGGGTTGTAGTTGTGATTCTGTTTCATGAAGTCGAGGATGGTGATCAAGACATGCTGGTCGTCCTGTTTTCCAGCGCCGTTCTCCGCCTCCCTTGTACATACCCTCGCTCGCTTCTTCTCCCGCTTGGGATGCTGCGGGGCTTCGGCTGATGTGGAGCCGTCTCGAGAGTTTGCAAGGAGCTGGGCACAAAGCTTGTCCAAGAATTTCGAGTGTGATCCTGAATTAGCAGCATCGCGTTCTGCAGAGTAAATCTTGAAGGCGTCAACTTCGACAAGTAGAAGAACGTGACAGAACATTCTCAACCACCACTCCCCAGCGTCCCTGCAATGTGCCATCCTCTCAATCTCCTCCATCAGGTGTTTGTGCACCTCTACAACCGCACAAGCTGACAAGTAGGACTTCACCGATTGAACAGCAGAGACAGTCCGCTTGACTCTTTCTTTGTTGCCCGTGGCAGGATCGATTCTCCACCTGCTCTTTGTGTGAAAGTCCAGTGCGAGGCAATCATCGAGCGTGGAAACAAAAACCCTCCTGTGAGCGCATGACGTGCTGCTTTCGCTCCAAGAATGTACAAACACTCTTCTGTCCTCATCGTTGACTTTCAAACTCACTCTACCGGTTTCGGCAGCCCCTTTTGTAGAGCCATCGTGCCGCACATCGCGCTTCAACAATGCCGTTGGAACCCCCTTGGAAAACTGACCGAGCTCACCCATGAAGTGAGTTCCGTTCTCCAGCAGAGCCTTGGCAGTTGCCAGGGACGAGAATTGAGAGTTCGCATAGATTGTTCGATGCTTGCCGAGGTAGTTTTGTCCTAGTCTAAGAATGGCACAAGTATGTTTGGGGTACCTCGTAGTGGACTCCGACTGGGCTGAGTGATCATCATGGAGGTCCAAGGCCATCACAAGCCCGAACGAGCATTCGAATAAGGACCTGAAGTCTGAACCTGCATCTCGAGTGCTCTGAATGGTTGCTACAAGGTTTTTCATCCCCTCGGACAAACCCTGTTGAACGGTCAAGAAGGACAAGTCAGGACACAAGCAAGTTCACCACCTCGAAGGTGGGGATCCATCTCCCGCTGCATTGGTCGGCAATCATCTCCGATCCCACATCAACTCTCAAAGCTCTGTTCTGATTGAACGCACAGATGAGAGGACGGATCATATCGAACTTGTTCTCTGATTTCTCCGCCGATGGTGGCCACAGCTTCAGATTCTTCTTCCATATGACGAATCTCGCCAAGTTCACGTTGAACCGTCTTGAGAGATTCAGAGGAGGCAAGATCCCCTCCGATCCTGTCTCCCAGACTTCCCTGGCCTCCCTTTTGGAGCAGAGATCCTTCGCGTATATCACTGCGATGTATTGAAGCCACTCATGGACAGTGAACGGTTTCTCGCCCTCTGGCAGAGTCTGATTCGTCCAGACCAGGCAGCATCCTTCAGAGCTGTTGGTGTCAAAGAAGAAATCCCAAGGGAACAGGAATTTCCAGCACTCTTCTTCATTCCGATGCTTCCGGTCTTCAAGGGAAGGCGACCACTTCAAACGTGACGGTCGATCCGCCCTCTCACTTAGTTTCTCTGCAATTCCCCCTGGGTCGCATTTCTCCCATGTCACCGTTTCCCCATCTAGATATGCAACTAGAGAGCCCCTGTCAGGATCAAGACCCGCCTCCTCTTTCTCCGACTCCTCCGAATCCCAGTCCTCCCTTGCATTCGTTAGGTCATCTTGAGAATAATCCTTCAGAGGAGGATCTTGCAGCATGCTATCTGTCTGCATCTCATCAAGATTCGAAATCAGGTTTTCTTTCACCCCGAGGACGATCTTTTCATCTTGCACCTCTACCTCCACCATCCACTTATCCCCGCTTCCTTTTGCTGTCACCCGACCTTTCAACTTCAACTTGTTCCACTCTGCTCCATGAGTCCGCATAAGAACATGCCTGACCTGCTTGTGCCGGCAGTACACCTTGTTGCTCAGCTCCACCTCCTGACCCACCTCGATCGCCTCTGCATGCGCTCGGGCGGCGAGGGAAGGTGCATTGGTCGGGGCTTGCGGCTCCATGGCAGGTCCGTTACAGGAATGTAACGCACTGAACCACACCGAATTAGGAAAATCAATTAGGAAAAATGAGTAATTAATTACTTAATTACTTAGGACTCCTTATTTTTTTAAAATGCCGCCTATGAAAATTCCTACTTAGCTTTTTAGTTAATTTCACTTGAAAACTGCAAGGCAGTACCTTTCTAGTCCCTTGTGGAAACAACAACTGGGTAGGGGACGTCATGGCATGGGGTGGGGGTACATTTTCAACAAGGGTGGGTAGTCTCCTGATGTATATGGACGGGTACATCATAGTGTTAAAAAACAGGTAGGGTGGTCTTTAGGCTCAAATGGAGTGGTCGGGAAGTGATGGGGGTGGGTAACGGATCTTCTTGCAGTAGGGTAGGGGTGATCAGTGATCCCTTCATCACCCTACGGAGCGACCATGGGGTGGGTTTCCATGGTGACGAGATCCAACATGGGGTGGGGTCAAAGTACTTTGAGAAGATGAGGGTTGTCTGCCTGGATCTTGAGGGGGTGGGGGGATATTTGATGAGGGTCATGGAGAGGAGGGGTGGGGTGATAGGGTACGGGATGTTTGATTCAATCAATGCCCACGTAAAATCATGCAGAGGAAGCAGGGAAGGTCATACGGGGAGAGAGGCAGTGAGGAGGGCGAGCAGAGGTTAGTGAGATGATGGATAGTCTTGATGATCTGTGAAGCTGGAGTAGCCGCTGAGCAGGAGGAGGTAGTATCTGGGAGGGAACTTGGATAGAGCGAGACGAAAGTAAGCTGAGAGCGAGATGGAGAAGGAGAAATCAAGAGTTGGAGTAGCGAGAAGAAGCAAACATGAGCGAGCTGTGTTGAAGTGCATACAATGAGATTAGGAGCAGTGCTTCAACCATCAGACGGTCCTCAATCGATCGGATGCATCTCAACCCCAGATTCTGACGACTAAGTAGAGCCGATGCCGTCATACTATTTCTCAGGCTCCGAGCATGAAGGTAAGTGCTGCTGTTGAGGAAGGATCGACTGATTCTGATTCTCGCTCAGATATAGTAGAGCCCATCATCACATTCAGTTCGGAAGTCCCCGAGGTCTGGGCGACTGTATAAAACTTGATCCATTGACACCCCTCTGCTGCAGCGCGTTGAGTTTGATGTGCAAGATTGTGGCATCGCTGAGCTGCAGCTGATACGGAGGTGATGTCAACGTGACTAACCTCCTCCGATGCAACTTGACGCGGCTACCACTTGCTCAGGGACGTTGAGAGGCTCGAGCTCCTCCTGAGAGGATCTTCGAATGACTTCAGTGCTACCAAAGGTCAGTTGCGGACCTGTATGAAGCTACAGATCTTGAGGGTATGCGTGCCCAGCCTCGCGCGATCATTCCAGCATGTTCTCGATGAAGAATGAGGAGGAGCAGACAATCAAGGTCCTGATTCGTACTCATGTGGTGAGGTTGACATGAAGTAGGCGGAGCTTGAGTTGGCCAAGAAGATGATGGTTGAAGGGAACCACATCCCAGCCAAGAGGTACTGACGTGTCTGTGCGCACAAAGTTCTCCTTCTCCATCAGTTCTCTGAACGCTTGCTGGGATAGATACCTCATGAAAGCCTGGGCGAGAGCGAGGTCGTCGTCGGATATCCCGGACAGGTTTGTGTTTGACCGAGTGATGAAGCGCGAGGGTCCTAAACAGCTGCTGTTCTTTCAGCATCTTGTTTGAAGCCGCCAGGCTTCTTCTCGCCTCCGGTTATCTTGAGGGCAACTCCGAAGAGCTCAACAGGGTCAGCCAGCCCCCACCCGCTACTCTCTCAGATCCTCTTCTTGCTCCCACGATCTACAAGTTTGACAAGAGAGACCAGGTTATGGAAGTCGCAGTGGAGGCAAACAAACGAGATGTTCCGAGCTCGTTGAATGTCCAGGCGTACACGTCCAGTCTCTCGAAGAGGTCTCCCTTTAGCCTCGGCTCTCTTTTTGCACCCTCGCAATGATCGTACTTGACGGATGCGCTCTCAGCCCTGACTCTTCCTATGGACACAAGTCACAGTCGGACCGGAGGAACGGACCGACGCCTCCACCCCGCAGCAGCAGCTCGTTCTGCACTCTTGACGATTCCGTAGAGTTTCAAGATCGTGGAAAGCAGGTGAAGGTGGTTGTAGCAGTTGAAAAGCAATACTTACATGAGTTTTCCCCTTAAGCTTCAAGCTCTTGTCAACATGGGTATGCGTCTTGCTGTCCTGCACTCCTCGCCGATTCAGGTGCATTCGTCTTGCTGCATCTGAAAGAGCTTGTCGATTGATCATGCTGACCTTTTGTTCATGGATGCAGGTTGCGCAGGTTCCTCGATATTTCGTTTGTTCTGCTCTTTCATCTTATTTCGTGTATAGGGGAACAGATTCCTCTCAGATGCTTTGTACCTTGCGAATGAATACCCTGGTAGAAAGTAAGCTGTCAGGTTGTCATGATTGATCCTCGTTCAGGTGTGAACAACGCTGCTGCCTGGGAACTCGTGGACTTTTTGGTCAGAAAGGTGAGATGAGAATGGATGGTGTTGGTGTTCATTCATAGGAATATGACTGTATGGCTGATGACCATGAGGAGCATGATAACGATGACGATGATGATGGCAATGACAACGACGATGATGACGATGACGATGATTATGTCCACATGATTGTCTTGTGTCTTCGTCCTCTTCGTCCGTGATGCACATGACGAGAGGAATCGGTGATGAAAGTCCCTGATCCAAGTGGATGGCCATTCCTGGCAGACATCAAGATCTTCGTGTGTGATCTGCTCGGACTGACCCTTGAGCTCTTCAGGGCAACGTCGACCCGGAGATGCAGAGGATCCTGCAAGCTGTTATCAGGTGATGAGGAGACGGATGGCGAGGTTGTGCTGCTGATGCATTCTCCTCCTCCCGAAGCCAACTTCATCGAGACGATCTGGCATCGAACACAAGGTGACAGGATGAGGACGATGAAGGGGACGAGGAGGAAGAGAAGGGAGGGGAGGAAGAGGAGGAGGATAGTGACGATGAAGTTGGCATGCAGATACGACTTCTCATGGAATGCTGCGAAGCCCGACTGTCACGCATCTTCGAATCCCGTCAGAAGCTCGTCTCGTCAGAATCGCTCGTCCTTGGAGGAGCCAGGAAAGCCAACGGGCGAAGAGGAACGGGAGAAGAATGAAAGAGACGACGTGAAGGCTGAGGAAAAGCTCGATGACATCAACGTAGAATCAGAGATCGATCAGTGGAATCAGCTCCTGGCATTTTTGAAGAAGGTCGTTGTCCTTGTCCTTGTTGTTGATTTTGGCGATGACAATGATGAATAATTCACGATGGCACGTGTTCAAGATGACGATCGTGATCCGACACGACATGCCTGCAAACATGACATGCCTGCAAACAGGCAAAGTTGGAGCACATTGCGCTGAAGGTCAAGATTGAATTTGGGGTAAAGAAGGTGCAAGATCTCATGATGTTTAAACCGGGACCAGACGAGAGTGAGAAAGTCTTTTCCCATTGTTGTTCGAGTTGGAATCTTGACGTTGTACCTGTAGCCCTTTCAATGTTTGCTGGCGTCCTGACAGTCTGTTCAGCTTCCTTTCGTTCTGCTGTGTTGTGTTTTGCTTCTCATCGTTCTCGTTCTTCTTCTTGTTCCTGTTCTTGTCCTTGTGCTCGTCGCTGATTGACCGCAGGGTCTTTGCTGTTCAGACTGAGCAAGATTGGCATCTCCGACGAGGATCAGCGCAAGATTGTAACATATCTTTCTTTCCCTCCTTCTTCCCTCTCCTCCTCCTCCTCCTCCTCTCATGTCCACCTTCCTCCTCCTCCTCCTCCTCTTCCCTCCTCCTCTCTCTCCTTTCTTCTCTCCTCTCCTCTCTCCTCTCCTCTCTCCTCTCCTCTCCCCTTTTCACTTTCTCAACATGCCCTCATCATTTCTGACAGAAGTTGCAGATGCGCGAGTCATACAGGCTGAGGGCTAAGGCCAAGAAGGAGGCGAGTAGATGTTGGCGCTTTTTCTCTCAGTCTGAGTCAAGATGTGCCAGGCGACATCAGCAGAGGAAGTGAGTTCGGGCAAGTCGCAGGAGAGTGAGAACGTGGAACCTGTCAACAACAAGGTAAAACTTTCCTTTGTGATATCCTCTTCTCGTCTTTCCAATTATTCTTCATCACTGTATTTCTGTTGAGCCCTTCCGTCATTTTCGTGTGTTCTTTGTCCCGTGCTCGCTGTTCTCCTCCTATGCGTTCTTCTCCTACTTCCTGTCTTTCTCTAACTTTGTTTCATTCTGCTCTGGCTCACTTTGTTTGCACGTCAACGTTAACATCGAAGATTGTTTCATCAAGTATGCCTCATCTCTGTGCTCGCTCCTTCTCTCCTCCTCTCATATGCCTCCTCTCCCCTTCTCCCTTTCTTTCTCCCTCTCCTTCCCCTTCCTCCCCTTCCTCAACCCGTCTCAGGTTCTTCAGTCTCCTCTTTCGTAAGGAGGAGCTTCCCGACCATGAAGCAAGCTGCTGACGCGCGGGAGGGGGAGGGAGAGGGATGCAGCGGGCAGCTCAAACCAGGTGAGCGAGGGAGCGAGCAAGGAGGCTCGCTGCGTGACTGACGATGTGCAAGACAACCTGCCCCTTGCGAACGGAGGAGGAAAAGTGAAGGCGGAGGAGCAGGTGGGGGATCGAGAGACTGTTGTCAGCCTCATGACATTGCCGCAGCATCCAAGAAGGGGAGCGAATGACGTGACCAGAGCTGTCAACGGCTTCGCTGCTCCTGCTCCTGCTCCTGCTCCTGCTCCTGCTCCTGCCATGATGACGACGAGAAGTTCGCTACCCTACCAAGGAGCTGTCCTCACGACGAGCAAGCGTACAGCATCGGTCCCTCATGATCCTTCGAGAAGACTGAAAGAGCTCGAGCTGGTTCCCTTGCCTCCTCCCTCCCTCCTCCTGATTGTCCCCTTCCTACTCACTCCCCCTCCTCGCTCCTCGCTCTTCCTCTCTTCTCTTTCTCCTACTCTGCTCCTCTGCTGCACGTACTTCTTTCTGTCTCATTTCTTCCAACACCAGCATGCCCCTCCTCCCAGCCCTGCTGCTGCTGCTGCTGCTGCTGCTGCTGCTGCTGCTGTCCTCCTGCTCTCTTGCTCCCCTCCTCAATTTTCCTCTTCCCTCCCTCACTGGTCTTCTCAGGCACTCGAGACTCTTGAGGGCCCGTCCAAGAAGAAGATCGAGAGCTTGTTTCAGCGCAAGAAGGACTTCCAAGCTCAGAAGGCGGAAGTGAAAGCCTTCTCCTCCTCTCCTGCTCCCTCTCACCCTCTTGGCTGCAGCTGCTGGAGATGATCCGGCCGCATGTTGAACCGAAAGAGGCTGGCGAGGTACAGAATGCCCCTGCTCCTGATCCTGTTCCCCCTGCTCCCCCTGCTCCCGCTCCTGATCCTTCTCCCTTGCTCCCCTTGCTTCTCTATTCCTCTTGCTCTACCCTTCCTGTTTCTTGCTTTGACCTCGCGTCCTTCACCCTCCTTCCAATGGTCGCCTCCCCTCCCTCCCTTCTCTTCTTGCTGCGCTGCTCCTCTTCTCCTCTCTGCTCTCCGCTTCTCTCCACCTCTGCATCTCCTCTCCTCCTCTCTTCCACTCTCATTTCTCCTTCAGTTGTCCCCAATCATCCAATCGCATCCTCAAGAGCTCCACCATCGCCACGTCTCGACTCCTCCTGACCCTCCGATCATCACCCCGCGCGAGCCTCCCGCTAGCAACTACCAGAATGCCTCCTCCTCCTTCCGTCCAGAGACGAGCTACAAGATAGAGGAGGAGAAGGGATGGAGGGAGGAGGAGAAGGGATGGAGAGAGGAGGAGAATCGCTGGAGGGAGGAGGAGCTATGGGAGGAGGTTGAGAACGTGGGTAGCGTGAAGGAGCAAAGCGAGAGGAGGGAACGGATCTTCCAGTATAACGAAGTAGGAGAGCAGAAACGCAGCGTTCCCATCCAAGGTAAGTGGAAAACAGCAGGAAAAGGGGGGTGGGGAAGGCACAGAGAGAGAGAGAGAGAGAGAGAGAGAGAGAGAGAGAGAGAGAGAGAGAGAGAGAGAGAGAGAGAGAGAGAGAGAGAGAGAGAGAGAGAGCAGGTGAAGGGTGTTGAGGGGGACGAGGGAAGTGAGAGGACGAGGACGAGGACGAGGATGAGGATGAGGACGAGGACGAGGACGAGGACGAGGACTTGGTTGTGACGATTCACTTGCAGCTACCAAGCCCGTAGATCGTCTGAAGCAGCTGGAGATGCAGCTAGGAGACATGATGCCTGACAGCAGGCGATCCCTCCTCAGCTTCAGTCTCGGCGCCCCCGGCAGTATCTCCCTCCTTCCCCCGCTGCGGTCAGGCCGAACGGAGGAGGTTGGCAGGCAGTTCCAACATGGAAGGGGAAGGGAGAGCTGGAGCGCTGCTGAAGTCTTCTCCGACGCTCGCCAGCATCGGGGATACCAGGTACTTTCTGTAGCCAGAGGAGGAGAAGTGGGGGAGGGGGGGGGGGGGGTAAGAATCGTGAATCGATCTTTAGCAGGAGGAGGACGGGAGGCTAGGTGACCTGAGGGATCAGCTGCAAGATTTGTCCTACGTGCATGCCAAACCAACACAAGGTACTTCCTCCTTCCCCTTGACGCCCTTGCCCTCCTCCACGTCCTCCTTTTCACCTCTGTCTCTTTCCTTCCCCCTGATCATCGCTACAGCCGAGCTTTTCAAGACTCCCATCTCCATCGCATGGGACGACAGGTAATCCTGCTCCTGCTCCTGCTCCTGCTCCTCTCTCTCACTGAGAATGGATCAGATCTGCCATCTATCCTTCATCCAACGTCTCCAAGGGTCTTGTGAGCTCCTCCTTCACGTGAGGATTTATTTATCGCTGAATTCATCTTGACAGCTTCAAGTTGGCTCTTTTACATCTACACCTGCATTTTGACATCTGCATCAAAGAATATCCCACGACCTAAAGCTTCATCATCGTTCTGCAATCTTCAGTGTTGCTAACGTCGAGGACAGAAGATCTCTATCCGACTCCACGTCTTATGTTTGCTCGTTGCCACTCAACACCCACAAGAGGGTAACGGCGACATGGCCCAACCACTCGGTTGGCTCGCATGTCAGTCCATGAGGTCGAGCTGCTCGCACTGCTCGCTCCTCTCCTTCCTGCCACCCACTTAGCACTCTCACCAACCTCGAATTCTCCTCACCTTGCCCGCATAATCTGCTTCTCTCTGCCCTTCATCCTGCTCTCATCCAGTCACAACAGAAACGCCTCCTCCTCCTCCTCATGCTCTCACTTGGCAGCGTTCTTCGCCTTCTGCGATCGCACTTGCATCCTTGACATGTCCGCCGACAGACTGCCGTCCTGTCAGGCTGCCTTCCCTCCCAACCCCCCCCTCCCTCCATCTTCCTCCCTCCCTCATCCACTCCTTCTCTCCCTCCCTCCTCCCCCCTTCTCACGTCGGCTCGTCTGGAACAGCCTCGATGCCAAAGATCTGCTCCCAACGCATGAGCCCCAGCACACACGACAGACCAGCAGGCGGCCAGCAGCAACTCACCTCGTGGAGGATCGGGTTGTGGGTCATGTGCGGGAGGAAGCCTCCTTGCAGGATCTGCCTGAAGAAGGCGAGCCGCGTCTTGTCGCGCCAGGAAGCGATCTCCAACGAGGAATGCTTCAGCTGGCAGAACACAAGGATCAGGAGGGTGGGCAGAGGAGGGAGGAGGACGGACCTTGATCTTCTCAGTCGGGGGACCTTCTCCCCGCTCCAAGACTGCAGATGCCTGCCTGATGACATTCTTCTCCTACAGGCTGCTTCAGCACAAGACCCCGTCCTGCTTCCAGCAGCAGCTGACCTTCGTGCGATCGGCCTTGGCGATCTTGCGGACGCTCGTGAAAGAATGGACCGTGCAGCCCTTCTCGGTTGACTTGTCCTCTTGGTCATCCACTTCCTTCCCGTCTATCGGATCGGGCATTAGATGAACTCTCCTCTCAGCGCAAGCCTCACCATCATGCCAATCATCATGGTGCTGTGAGTTCTCTAGTTTCGAAATCAACTTCTTCGCTGCTTCAGGGTCATACCTCCTGAGGACAAACCAGTCAGCTCCACCACGGGCACTGACACCCATCACCAGCAGGATTCATACAGGATGCAAGCATTCTCAGAGGCGGCGATCCGGACGTCCACCTGCACCACCTGCATGAGAGGAGGGAGGACTCATAGACGCTGTGAGTACCTCAGTACACTCCAAGAGAGGGTCCAAGGACTGCAACCACGATACAATCCTCTCCCCGTCCCCATTGTTGATGAACGAATCTGAGAGCGAGGTACACATTAACCCCCAGGCATGAAGCCCTGTAGAGGTCACATGTCAGTTGAGAGGACCGAGTGTGGAGGTGGCAAGACCGGGAACGACGAAATCTTTGACCAACTTTCCTTGCGTCATCCTGAACCACTCAATGAACCCGGGAAAGTCAAAGGAGGAGAAGGAAGTTGAATGGGGAGAAGGAGTGGGCAGGAGGAGGTTGCTGAGGGAGGACGAGGACGAGGAAGGGCACTCACAGCTTCAGCAGGGAAGTCATCAAGGACGCTGTTTCTCTCTCAGGCTTATCTGAGATGAATGCCCCCAACGCTAGGAGCTCAGCAACCTGCCCACGAGCTCTCAGGGAGGCACGAGGGACATTGTCAGCAACTTCACCTTCCCGCGGACTGCTGCTGACTTGTGATGGACAGCATGGTACGACAAGGAGCTCTCAACCTCTTCCATCATCTGCGACGTCCCTCAGACCCTCTCGCACAGCGTGAGGAAGCAACGGTCACCTTCAAGCACTCATCCGAGAACGACACGAACAGGAGGGACAGGAAGTCGGCCGCCAGCAGCTGCAGCAGGGCTAAGGCGACCCCTCCACATCCACCACCTCACATGCTCCTCACCGCCTCCTTGCTCATCCCCTTCTTCAGCGCGTTCATCGCTTGACCGCACAGGTCATCGCATCGCTCCTCCAGCTCGCCCAACGAGACTTCCTTCCTCATGACCTCGCAGAGGCCCTTGAACGCCCACTCCCTCGTGGTCGCCCTCTTCTCTGTCAGCCCATCCAGAAATCCCGACAACTCGTTCGTCTCATCGTCGCTGCACACAACACAGTCATCAGCATCTGAATGCAGCTGCTGAGCTTGAGCATGCGTTGGCCGAGGGGCAGAGGCCGGGGAGGCGGAGAGGAGGAGGCGGAGAGGAGGAGGCGGAGAGGAGGAGGCTGATGTAGGGAGAACGGAAGTAGGGGATAAGCACCTCTCCGACGTTCCGCTCGTCCCATTCCTCTGAGATGGGAGGGAGATGGTGGAGCAATCTGAAAACGTGTCCTCGTCGTCCTCCCTGCTCCTCCTGCCTTTATTCTTCGACATGTTCAACTCGTGCTGTCAGAGGACAGTCAGATTTCTTGCAGCGAGGGGTGAGAGGTCTCAAGCAGTACCGATTGTGATTGAAGACCGTGAAAGGTACTAAAATGGACTTATCCGACTTGTTTTCAAGAGTTCCTTCAAGTAACAAACCAAGAATGGTTTCTGCCGTTACATGTAAACGTGAATCCACAACATGCCAACCCATCCTTGCACTGCATAGCTTGACCACACTAAAACACCGTTCCAACCTCTCAGATTCGGTGCGCACGCGAAATACATCGAAAGTTGCGCAATGCCCCCTACCACCCCCCCCACATCCACCTTCCTCCTCTTTCCTTTCTCTCGCTCCTCCTCCCTTCTTTGCACGTGTCTCTCCCCCCACTTTACCATGCCATCTCCCTGCATATTCTTCCCTCGCTCCTCTCTCCTCCTCCCCTCTCTCCTCTTCTCCTCTTCGCCTCCCTTTCATTACCTGCATGCGCACTGGCTACAAAATCCCCCTCACTGCCTTACCCTTAACACGTACTACCCCTACCCGCTATGTATGACAAAATATTCCGTATACCCCTCCTATCTATGGCAACCCCTCCTTAATCATAAAAATACCCCCGCTTAAATTGAATATTTCAACCTTGAGGCATTGGTCACCCCTGGTAAGTACGACCCCTACCCATAGACCTTTTCCACCCACCCCCAATTTTCTCTTCCCTTTTGCCAAATTTGAGGTGCTGACAGTTTCCTGCTAACAACTTTCAATAGTCCACCACCCCATCCTGCAAATCATTAAATTCCACCCTACCTTACCCTGAAGTACCCCACCCCTACATTTTACAAGAGTACCACATCTCGAAAGCAATGTTGAAAAATGAATTGTACCCCTACTCTACTACCCTCACCCCTCCGTTACACGAATGTGTATCCTTTACCACCCCTCCTCTCTATCCCCCCACGGTGGACCACCTTTCTGTACCGCCCCCTCCGCTATAAAGAATGATCACAGGATTTTCATGTTGTACCACGAATTATACAAAAAATCTATAAAATATGGAAACTGATAATGCCCTTTCATAACATACCCCTCCTTAAGACTGCTGAAAAGTAGGTGGGGGTGTATTATTTACGTATCCTCCAGCCGCATCAGTGCAAAAGACGTAGTTTCGATGGGTTTAAAAGAATGTT